TTTAACCATTTTAAGTCCAAACTGAAGACATTTTTATTTAGAAAAGCGTTTGAATAGCTCTTGATGTTTTATATACATTTTTACTAGATCCCTTGTTTTAATATTTTAATTTTTAGCTCGTTACCTTAGCCTAGTGTACATAATTATTGTAAATAATTAGTTTTTAATTAATCACACTATTCATAGCATATCGTTTTAAAATTTATATTACTCATATGGTTTGTTAGGCGCATTTGATCATATTTACATGTTAATTTGCGCCTTAGAAATATTAAATATTATTATTTTATTTTTATTATTTATAAACAAATCACGCGTCGTGAATATCTTTGCGTGGCAAATAAGCAGCATATACGAATGCAACGCAACGGCAGTGGGACAGACACTACAGTGATTCTTAGCGATTCAAATCACTAAACGTCGTTCGTGTGGACGTTAATTTACTTGTTACACCAGTCCCATCCTCTTGGTCTTCACTAGGCTCCCAATCAACCGCGAAAAAGAGAAGTCAGTTAGCGGACTGAAGTGTGTGCATCACAAGAGAAAGCTAACGACCTTTATCAGCGACATTCCTGAAACGCAATCCTATTGACATCCTACGCCATATGTAAGATAGACAAATTAATACTAGTAGCATTACTAACACTTGGTAAAACGCTTCAGTTGATCAACTAAAAAGCTAAAAAGGTTTCTTGAACGTATACCCTAGTGCCGCCGGGCCTACTCTTAGTCTTTTTTGGATCGAGCAACACTCTGGCCACGTATTACGCGCTGTTGAGGAAGCCAACGCTCCTGGGCTATCCACTGATAGTACATTTTGTTTCGAATTTCTGCTCTGCTACAAACTGTTACGAACATAAAATTCGACCAGGTAGTTTGGGAAGGTTTTCCATTAACATAAACTAAAAGCATCATAGATGCAAAACTGGTACATACATGTAAATAATGCAAATAATGAAAATTTCAAGCCCTTCTCAACAAAACAGTTGTCAAAACTAACCTTTCCCTTCTCTTTAGGGTCAGCTATTAGGTCGCGTTTTAGAGGCGCGCTGTCTGAGCCATGGAATAGGGAAGCAAGAGATATAACACAAACGATAACAATTAAGAGCGTCTGCATCGTAGAAGTTAAAAGATCCTTCGGTTTCTGAACGTTTCAGTTCACCGCAATGTGGAGGATCTCAGTGGAATTGATGATCCGCTGTTAAGCTGTACTGTATTTATAGCAGCGTGAAGTATCTATCATCGCAAAGGTGTCAACTAATCTACGCAATTCAGCTTTTTGACGTCTGATGAAACGTGACGTAGATTACCTGGGCACGCCTTGCCTGCGCACAGGCCCGCGTACCCGTGGCTAAACACCTTTTCAGGAAGTGGGCGATAAACATGACCTTTTAAAATGGGTCTTGCTGGGAGAAAATCAAGTTTGACAGTGTTTTATTTACTTTCCTTTTGTTTTCAGTTATTTCAAGTATTCGTTCAGGTAGAGAGGTAGGGGAATTTCTAACATTCTAACAAGTTTTGAGATCTTATTTCAACATTCTACCTCAGAGAAAGGACTTGTCAAATACCTAACAATGACTTCCGGTCATGATTAAAGTACCACAGACAGTAAACAGTTTTCTTATCGTTTTTTTCCCGGTCATGTCCATTTCCAGTCGCCAACGCAAGCTCAATATCCTGTATACAGCAAATGATCTTT